TTCCAAGGTCAGGCGTTTACTGCTTAGCAAAACTGGGTATCCGATGAAGGTGGCAATCAATCATTTACTCACTGGTTGAACAGTTTACTAAGATTTCGTGTTAGGTGAATTTTAATGGATTTAGTAAGTATTTTCTTTCACCCAAATTTCTTCCTACGTCACAAAGTATCATCAATATATCAGTTCAGTTAAATAGTAAATCACTTTTCATTGTGATAGGTTAGGTTTTTATTTTTATATTTGTTATTTATTCTTCCCTTGGGTTCCTAGTGGAATATAGGGCTTCAGTGGCACGCCTCCATTGCATTCTCTTCTCTGCAGTCTTTTGAACCTGGCTCCCCGTCTACCCTCAACCTTTCATTTCTTCCTCACACCATCTCCCACGTGTCAGTCTCGGCATTGACGTCAAACTCATCGTTCCCCATCTGGGTTCCACTTGAGGGCCTGGTACGTGGTGTCTTCAATCGGCCAATCCGTCTTCCCAATCCATCTTCTTGTTCTGTTGGGCGACGGGTTATTGGTTGGTTCATTGCCAGCCACAGTTCCTTGTTGCTTATTCTTTCTAGCCATCTAAGCTTCAGTATCGAGCATAGGCAGCTGTTGACGAATGTCTGTAATTTGTTGGAAATGCTTTTCGTGACAAGTCAAGTTTTTGAACCCTATAGGAGCACTGACTTGACATTGGTGTTGAAAATCTGAATCTTGTTCACGCTTTATGCTGAGCACAGTAGATCTCCACACTGATTTCAGATTAATGAAAGCCTCTCTGCTGTCTTTCCGATCCTGGCTTTGACATCCTCATCTGTACCGCTGCCGCCATCGCCGCTTATAGTTAAAAGATGCTGCCCTGCCTAGGTAGGTGAAGGAGGCCACTTCCTGTAGATTTTTCTTGTTAATGGTGATTGATGCCCCTTGTTGTTGATGCTGTTGTTGGTTGGGTATCTTTGTCACCTCTGTCTTCTCTACATTCACATGGAGGAAGTCCTGTCTTTGCTGCTCCACCTCTTCTGTCAACCTGTTAGTTTTCGCCAGTAGATCTTCAAGTTTGTGAGATATTAGTCAGGATTCATCATCGGCGAAATTTAAATCCCCTGGGATCTTCTGATCGGTCCTACGTATGCCTGTATTCTCACTCCTCACGGTTCGCTGCATGATTCAATGCAGTCGACCACTGTCAGGAAGATCATCGGTGGTAGTAGGCAGTCTTGTCTTACTCCTATCCTTACTTCAAAGGCGTCACTAAGCTTTCCATTGTGGATCACTTAGGTTTCTATAACTCCTCATTATTCTTTTAGCGGTTGAACGAATCCTACTTCGCTTAATATATTAGTAGGGGCCACATGAAGTTTGGGAATAAAGCGTGATTACTCATCAACGTTTAGAAAATGGATACGGTATTAACAGCCTTAGCTCTTCCAGAGTAATCTATGGACAGGAGAGTTCTAAAATTATGTTTTTGAGGACATTGAAAAGGTATCTTACTATACTCATTGAGAAGAATATAGTTAGCAAACGTATTCCAATCTTGCTAAAGTAGACCCATGCTTCTGTCTTTCATTTTCATGTATGATCACTTTCGTGATATTTTCAACTCTACCTTTTTGCCCAAAGAATGACACCGACTCAGTCGTTTTTAAGAGAATAATTGTTTGTGATATGTGTATCCCAGTTTTGTAAGTTTATTGACTTAATCCACTTCCTAACTTCTCTCATAAAATCTGACCTTAAAATAATGTATCTCAACATCAAGTCACACAGCCTTTTGGTTATATCGACTGACTTCTGGAAATTATGAGTAATTTTAAGTAGACAGTCACTTCGCTCATAATCTGCTGACTTCAGAATTTTTTTCACACTTATCTTGTTGAAATCAGTTCAAATCTAGGCTACATGTTTCCATCAATAATTAGTTGCGACGTTGGTGAAAGTATGTTAAGCGTCTTATGCATAAATTTTGATACTGATTAGTTTGTGTAAAGCTCAGAAGAGTCGGCATAGTTGAAGGCAGCCTGTATTATTCCACTTCTTGAGCTGTTTTGCTTCCTTTCTTTATATTTATGAGTAAAAGACTAATGTAAAGAGCTTTGTTATTCTTAATCATGGGTAGTACGTTTCGAAAAAGTCCAAATTTTCTTGACGAAACTTGCTTGTGTGAGTACTATTCCAATTTTCTTGATAAAAAGTATTTACAGGCATAGGTCGTACTGACAGTAAGAGTGTACAAAACCCTGTGGATGGAATGGATATTATTGTACTCGATGACTAACAGAGGAATCCAGGATGCACGTCTTTCTCCTGTTTGGTACTCATCACCCGAATATACCTGCCCCCAGTGAATGATGTTGTTCCCACTGAGGCTCGGACCCATTACCCTTTGCTTCAAACACCAAGGTGTTATCCAATAGATCACTGAAATACGATAGCCACCACTTGTGCAACGGATACCAGTTGTTATAATGAAACTTATAATATACCGTTACCATACAGGATCGAACAGCTCGATCTCTGTGGATGGGATGAATATTAGTTGATGAATTCAAGAATTGATCTGTTTGAAAAATAGTTTGCCAGTTGATTAAGACTTGAAGGAACCCCTACATCATCTTCTTTACACAAAAATTGCATTCTGTTATAAGCGCCTGCATTATCTGCAGTTCTGGTTATTGCCTATTGAAACTGCGTGCACATATAAATCGAAGTGATCTTAGTGTTAGCACCTAAGGTTATCTGGTGTATCACAGTGATGTCAAAAAGTTGTACATAGTTTGGAGGAAAACCTGAATTGTAACGTGATTGAAGCTAGCAGCCGTAGATAGTGTTATTGTCACCAGGTTGATAGGGCTGATGCTGACATAGCAACCCTTTCGTAGGATAAAAGCAATAAGGAATTTTTCGACATACTTTTCTGAAATTAAATACCTCGGATAAAGTTGCTTTTTTGATGACGTTTCACCAGTTGATCACCAATGTTTAATACTTCTGCAGTCATGTGCACCCGAGCAACAGAATACCAGTCATAGATATTGTAGTCTTTCTGGCAACTAACAGATTCAGATTCACCTAAATAAGTTCACAGTGGATTTGAAAGATGTATTGAGAACACTATTCGCAGGCTACGATCATCACACTGCAATTGTTCAATTCCATTGCAACCTAACTTCTTCCACGTAAAGCCTTAGTGTGTACCCTACAAAATTAAGGTTTGCAAGTATTGATGCACAGGACTGTGCTAGAGTTAATGAATGTATGACATTAAACCATGAACTAAGTTATTTTACCTTAGTAACTGAAGAAATTTCCTTAAGCAGGTGAAGAAAGATTACAAGGCGATATTATTAAGTTATGGTGTCCAAATTCTTGAGGTCAGTGTGATAACACATAAAAAGAAGGACCAAAGGACTATGATGTAGTTAGTAGAAAAAGATGGTGATAAGGAGTTTTTAAACATTATTAAGGCAGTAAAAGGTTAATGACTCAAAATTTTTGAACTTACAAATGCGATTGGCCTTTTGCTATTTCAGATTCTAATGGCTGCGTTTATTTCTGTTTAATGCTTCGAAACCGCCTTATGACGTATCATTGCACCTTCAGACGAAGTGAACAACCCACTAGAAATAGAGTTTTTGAAATATATTCTGATACCCTAGTAGTTGTTACTACGTCCCTTTACTGTGACTGCTTTTGCATGTATATATTACCTTATAGATGCGGTTGAAGACTGTCATATTCAGGAAGTTATTCCCCTTGGATTACCTAAATATTTGATATGCTGCATAAACTTAGGGTTTAGATCCGTCTAACCCACTACATTCCTAATCCTTACTCTAATTTTATCAGCATCATTTTCCTTGAAGTTCATCTCTTTGATTCTCTAAGTTAATTCCCTAATATATCCGCATCGTTTCTCCTTGGTTTCTATCATCTGTCCTTATTTTTGTGTAAATTGAACTAATCTGTGACGGAGTAAGCTGACTGTCGATAGGTTAGGTATCATAGGAACGTCAAGTCTTAACCTTACGAGTCGATGGTACAGGAGATGACAGATGTGATCAATGGTCTAAATTCATCGTAGTTTGATTGCAGCCTTTTTTAAAGTGTCTTGAATTCTCTGATGGCCTCTACATTCATTTTTCAATCATAAATCTCTTAGCACTATTTACTTTGTGCCACAATACACTACTCTACACACTCTCTTATATCGGACAGTATAACTTTAGTTAGCTCAACATTACTAAGTTTGAACTTTTGTCAATTTGAAAAGTTACAATTTGCCTATTGATAATAATTCATTATTGAGCGATCACAGCCTTCATCACAAGCAATAATAATTTCTTATTGACCCAATTAAGCAGAATAACTTAGTTTACCAAATCCTTACAGCGATTGCGAGGTCAAATACATAGGTCAAAGTAGTCGACCAGGGTCAGTCAGGCTATCGGAACATAAAAACGTAGCTAGGTCAAAATAGGTAGATCCAACTAAAGTAAGGAATTTAGAAAACACTCAGACATGTGCGTGCGATTACACGCAACAACACAATACGACTGGACAAGATGAAAATTCTTAAAACTAACATAACAGGGTGGAGGGAGAGTTCGATAACCGAATCTCTCTTAGTCGAATCAACAACTTACCCATGCAATAGGAATGACTCAACACCTGTTCCGGATATAAGGAAAATTTTACTACCCATCGCACAAAGAGACGAGGAAATTAGGACTATATAAAGGTCATCTCAAAGTTGTTTAGTTATCTTTGTATGACTATGGACAGTAAATTATGACCGAGAGGTAATCCAGTAACCAATACTGTTACGCTGTGTGACAAATCTAATAAATGAATAAATACGAAATTACATTCTACCACAGTGCACAAGTTTTACTCTTATATCAATAATAATTTCTTCTTTAAGCGTTTCAAAAAGATTAAAATAACTAGTTAAATGAAACTATTGGGATAATTGTATAGTGTTTCTTGTATTCTATTAAAATTTGTTTTAGCATCGAACAGCTGGATTTGTTATCCAATCAGTTTTACTTGTATTTATTATAATTGGCAATTCTAGTGTACTGATATGGGCATTGAAGAATGTACATAAATCTCGATTAAACAGATTTGTGATAAACTTAGCAATTGCAGGTAAGTTTATGAGCAGACATGTTTATTTACCTTTTTTAGTATTTTCTTTTTGTGCATAACAGAATACTCACATTTAACTATCGGAAGGTGAATATCAGTTAGAGTAGCTTCATTATTAATAATATTTCTGAAATAATACACTTTTTATCAAGCACATCTCGGAAGCACAAGTACCAAGGGAATTAGAAGGTTCACTTTTGCCTGTAGGAATTTCACATAGTTTGCGGTTGCTTTGTTTTTTTATCAAACCCGCAACTATGACTGACCATGTCAAGTCATTTTCGGGATAAATGTGAGTTGAATGCAGCCAAAAATGAAACAGTTATAAGTGAGTGGTAAATGAAAAATACCAAATGTTCACCTTGTAATTAAATTATTTTGTTTCATAAGTGCATTAAGGCCTTTTCATGTTATTCTGGGTTATCTACAGGGTAGAAAAAACTAGGAATATATTTGAAGCTAAATTACTACCGTCCTAAATATGTAGAGATAAGGAAAAAATACATCAAGAGCAAGACAGATAATTTCAGGCACTGTTAACTGCCTTAAAACAGAGTCCAAATGCACCAATGTTATCCGGAAAAGACATTTAGAAATGAATTTAAATGTCATCATTTTGAAAAGTTTGGAAATTCATAAGAAACAGACCATGAATTGGACAGATCTCATGAGATGAGGTGGCTAACATTTGTGTTATGCAAGACGTGTGCCTTACTTCCTCACTGCTATGGCAGACGAGGTTTTAAAACATCCTTAATGTTAACTACCAATGATGATAATTGTAAACCATAAATGTTTTGACTAGAACGTACTAAGCTGGACAAAGTATTTGTTATGGTCTGTTACGAGTAAATGACGATGGTCACGTAAATGTAATACCGGAAAAAACATGCATCAGACGTATAATGAAAGAGGTCTGTTTGAAGCGGAGAAATAATTATTGATAGCCTGACTTATGAATATTTTTGTTTTTCGTCATTGACTGGCGGAGAAAGTTTGTTTTGCCCTAAGGTTTAAATGAAGACTGAAGTCTGCTTCATTTTCGGAATACATAACAACCCTACCAATTGGTAGTTTGTTTACATGATAATGACAGGTAACAGATTATTTGCAAATATTACAGAAAAGTGCATGTGGAATTTATTTCACTTTGAAAAACTGCATGTTATTAACGGTTATTCGAATTATCTTACTTTAGCAGCTTCAAATAAATGAGTCTTTGCCTAAAATGTTGGTCTCGCTGCTCAAAATCCTGAGGTGAACGTGTGTGGTCATTGAATTCTAACCTGAGCACAGCTTGTACACTAAGAGCTATAAAAAGGATTAGGACGTTTTCTGAGCAAAACCTAACGACTGCAGTGAAGGTAATCAGGGAAGCAATTCACCATACTTTAACACTGCCCCGTATTGTATTACATAAGGAATATTTAGAAGCAATAAAGTATCATAAAGTTACTGAACAGCTATAGTAGTTCGTCTTGACGCCTAATGAAAATCGACGTAAAGCAGAACTTTAATAAACTGTACTTCCAGCATCTATTATTGTGTAGAAAATGTCGGTCATGTCTTTGCTTAACACTGTTAACACTAGGAAGGTATTTTCAAGGTAATATCTTAAAGGATAGGTCATTATTTTGACTCGTACTTTATGCCTGTGGAAATCAAATAGATTCAACTCAAAGCATATTTATTCATTTCAGTGGCTTAACTCGAAATAATTCTGCTGAATGTTTTGTCCATGTGCATGAAATGACTTTTATCTTACTGTTTCACTGTCTTCATTACTGCTTCATTGGTCGAATAAGCAACAGGAAGTAGTATTGATGATTTCTAAAATATTTGCTATTTCCAGCGGGGATGAGCGTAACTGACAAGCAATCGATTTTGGTAAATTCATTGATGGCTTCGACAATACGCATGTGCTTTTATGCATTAGATTACGGGAAACTCGGAAATGTAGGAAGAAAATACTGTTATTACATTCACTATGATAAGCACGAAACTACTACAGTAAAGAAGTACGCAGGAATATCCCCTTTCACCAATTTTTCTTTTTAGCAAATAGAAAAGACCCTCTTTGGGACATCCTACTACACTCAAGTAAGCTGATTCTGAAAAAATGGTCCCGTAATTGATAAATAATTTTTAAAATGTGGAAACATTAGAAAGCAAACAAATATCAGAGGTAATATAAATATAGAACCGACAGTTGTTACGCAGAAGTGTTTTATCTTTTTCTTTGATTTTCCTATTGAGATTATTGGATTAAACTAGTCAGATATTTAGCTCAAAAGCTTAAATGTTCCACTAAATTGCTTTAATCGATTGAATGATATATTAAATTAAATTCTGCATATTTGGTTTGGTGGTTTAGAAACTGTCAACAATGAACCAGCTCCTTTGAACAGGTTGGGTCATCCAAGATCAGTAGAGAAAAAGTTTAGTGAAATATTGTGGTAATCGATGTTGAGATCCGATTAATGAATACAAGGACCTGAGGTGTGTAAGAGAACAGATAAAAAAAAATGCTACCATTGAAAATCTTTCCGTGATAATCTATTCAAAAATTCAGGGGAACACATATGAGAAAAATTACTAGCAATAAGGTTAGTTACTATAACTTATACTGAAATGGAATTCAAAGGTTCTATGGTGATACCACACGCAGAAAACATCAGAAGTATTACATAGTATTATCAAGCAAGAAGTAATTCGGTGTGGGGGGAATTAAATCTTGTCAACCTACCTGGAAGGAAAGCCCATCTGTCTAAATGTCCTTCTGAATCAATTAAGGGAAATAATGTGGAGCGCAGTGCACAATTCAATGATTGTGAGATCAAGTTTGTGGGTAAGATAACCTGGCTGAAGTCAGTTGGTCTAGCATAACTTTTGATGTGCTACTGCAGAACTTGCGACCCGATGATAGGGTTTGTAACTGAATTTCACCTGAAGTCGTCCTAATGAAGGAAGGCATGTTGTTTTGATGCATCGTCAGGAATGCGTCGTGAAAATGTTATCGATTCTCTTCGATCAAACTAAGTTTGATAAACTTGTAGGTGAGAGGAACAGAACACAACAGATTGAGATCCAACTCACAGGTATCTTGAACAAAATGAAGGATAATGCGTTGATTTTCTCTAGTTTGTATGAACACATCCGACCAGTTGCTTCAGTAATTATACGTCTTTATGAATCACCGGAAATACATAAAGCAGGGTAGCCTCTTCGCCGGATTTTGGATATGTCGGTTTCTCCTTATCACTGTATCGCCCAATGGTTAGCTGAAATACTGGAACCAGTCAGGTGGCAAGTGTCTCATTATTCTATTCGTGATACATTTGAGTATATTGATAGCAGTAAGGATGTTGACATCACAGGTAAAGCTATGTTTTCCTTAGGTGTTACCTCGTTGTTCACCAGTGTACTATTTACTGAAATTATTTGTTACATATGTAATCTCATCCATACACACAATGTAAAAGTAGGAATTCTAACAAACTACTTGAGAGAGTTGTTGATGAGATGTATTTTCAATGTGCAATTTAGTTTCGATGGTGGGATATACAGGCAAAATGATGGGGTTGCAATGGGATCCTCACTGGGACCTCTAATGGCAGATCGTTTCATGTCAAAACTAGAAAATTCTATTCTTAGCCAAACTATTAGGCATTTTGGTATCTATAAACGATGTATGGATGATACATTCTTTATTTGCAACTCAACTATCGATCTGGATGACATCCTACTCGAGTTTAACAATTGTCACGCAGCCTTGGAATTCACTATTGAGAAGGAATTGGAATCAGCTATTCCTTTCCTTGACGTACTGATTACGAGGCGTAGCAATGGAACGATGAAAAGTTCCATCTACAGGAAACCCACATGGAATGGACAACTCACTAATTTCTATAGCTGGGTGCCAATCATGAGGAGGAGAAACCTGATCCACTCACTCTACCATTGAATACGTAATATTTGTAGCACGGAATGTGTCCAACTTGAACTTGACTTTCTAAGATGGACGCTCGCCGAAAACAGCTATGCTAGCCGATTTATCCATAAGAATATGCAAGGAATACATGCAAAACCAGTCACTAGCTCAGTTTCAGAAAAATCTTTGTTCATGAACCTGGACTTCAAAGGTGATGCAGCATCAGATATCCTGAAAAGTCGTCTTTCCAGATCAATTTGTGGGACCTTTTTCTCAGCAAAACTTCATTTGATCTTCACCAGTCGTAAATTGTTCTCCGTCGGTATGAAACACAATATCCCTCGACAGGCCACATCCATGTGTATCTGCCAGTTCACCTGCTCCTGTGGAGCAAGGTACATCAGCCGTAGTCAGAGATTTCTATCAACACGTATACGAGAACATATTCCGGTCTGGCTTTATAAAGGTCAAAGGAAGTGCATCAGAAGTTCTATTCTTGAGCATCTAATCGATTCCAACCATTCAGCCGACCCAAACAAGGATTTCAAGGTTGTCTATCGAATCCGCCCTAACACTTCACGTTTCCTCCTTGTTCAGCTTCTAAAAACAGCGGAGGCCTTGGCTATCCATGAACTGAAGCCTGAACTTTGTGTGCAAAAGAAGTATGTACATTCTTTGTCTCTACCTTAGCCTTAATATCTTTCAGTTTTGGTGCACTTCGTCTTATTTTCCTTTTTCACCCCCTTCCCTTTTTTTGTCAGATTAATCTTCGTACTCTTATTTCGTCATTATCACTCTGTTTTTTGTATTTATTTGTTTCCGGTGTTATTTCATTTGACTTTCCTAATAATCGCAACTTTTAACAAAACATTTTCAGTTTACTCCAATTAACTTGTCTCATTTATATTACCTGATGTTTTGATTGTTCATTAACATTCTCACCCCTTTTAATCTATATGCACTTTATAAACGATTTGAAAGTCTTATGTAACCCTTTTGTTACCATTCGACCTTTATGTCATCAACTATCAATATTATAATTATCACCACTATCGTTATTATTGTTTCAACCCCCATTATTTCAGTCAAATCTTCCTTACGGATTACACTCTTTAAATATCATATAAATAGGAATGTACAGCTTGAGAATAAATTCGTTGAAAAGAGTCCTCTTCGCTGAATATCTTGTTTTTGAAATCCACTGTTACTGAAAGGAAGGAGTGGCCAGTAGCTGAACTATTTAAATCAGCTGTTGGAACTTGTTTCATTATCTTGATGAGATTACAAGAGATAAATTATCATTCAGTAGATAATACTGCATCATTATTTCCCCTGTTTAGTGTGCAAATGTAATATGGAGCAGTAATGGTGGACTGCATGAATCTGAGTTGAATTAGCGATTCTCTTCAATGCTTTTACTGCCATTGACTACCACTGTATATGCCATGGTGCTTAGCATGCAGCTGATTCTAGCAAACTCTTCAACCTTTGTATTGACTTAAAGTCCTGACTATCATCAATGAAAGTCATTTTGGTTGTTTACCATTCAATTAGTTTAGTAGAGGTATACAGATAAATAACGTTGATGAAGGCTTATCACTGTCACTTAACACTAGAAACATAACTGTTTAATTAACTTAAATGAGAGACAATGACTTTTGATAGATAATTCCAATTATATTCTTTTAAATGGAAATCAAAACTATTTTATTCAATTCACTGTTAAATGGTAATTTTGCATGAAAATACCTATAGGTTATCTACTACTCAACACATTAAACGAACTAAAAATATCAAATGTGACAGAAACGTCCATGGATATTATTGATAGAGAATTTGGCAAACTGCAGCTTGATAATCGATGAAGAATGGAAGTAACAAAATCTGACCTCTGTAGCCATACAGTAATTTGCTGTTTAATAATCATATGGGTCTTATATCTGTCCAGTGTGCAGTGTTAAGCAGAAAGTGAGACGAAACTTAGAATCAAGACAGGAATAATATTCTGCTCATTTTAATTTTCATAAGCTTTATATCATGAAAATTAACTAGAAATAGTGTTATCATTTACATTAAGTTCTCAAAATAGCGTTGGTATACATTCCACTTTTTACGAGAAACAGGAATAAAATCAAATCTGCACATACATATTAGAAATGATTATGAAGTGTGCTGGAGTCATTTACAATATGCAAAATAACAGCAATAGTCTCATACTATATCAAAATTACAACTAAAGACTTTAATATTTTCATTTTTCTGCCTGTTTTAGATTTATTTGTCGGTCTAGGAAATCTCATTCCTGATATTGTCTGGAAAACAACGGTTAAGTTTTATGGACCAACTTGTTTGTGCAAAGTGACCAAGTATTTAATGGTATGTTGGTGGTCTTGTTTTGGCCGATTTTTCGCTGTAGCAAGATGTTTATCACAGGTGAAAACCTTTATTCCAAATATCTCCCCAAATTGTGTGGTTAACAGCTTTTTATATTTGTCTAATATGATGCAGAGCTTCATAGTGAAAGCATTTATTGAATAAGCTGTCGTAGTACCATCGACTGCTGGCCCTGTTCATTCAGAACCATTGTAATCGTAAGTGAAGCTAACTAAACAGTTCATAAGTGCACCTTTCGTCCTATTTGAGATTCGTCAGCTAGATATACATGCACCTTGATGAACTCAGCACCTCTGGTTTTGACGGTCAGGATGAGAAACACTAGGCTACTGAGTTACGAAAGCCAACGCTCGTTATTATGTATAGATACCTGTAATTTTTCGCTGATTTTTACAATGAACCGGAATAATTTGTGTGTATTTATTCATGAAATTTATCAAAATCTTTCACATTCTTTGAAAATAATAACCCTTAATTATGACAAAAATCGTGACATATTTCTTGGATTACTGTGTTTGATGACTTGGTTTTTCAACTTCTGAATAAAATGTCTGTGATATTTGCTTCCTAATGCATAAGGTACTTATAAATCAAATTATTGTTATTTGTCCTTTGGGTACCTAATGGAACATAGAGCTTCAGTAGCACGTCTCCAATGTGCTCTGTTCTCTGAAATCTTTTGAACCTGGCTCCACGATAGCCCACAACCTCTCATTTCTTCCTCACAAGATCTCCTACATGTCTCCCTCGGCACCAACGCCCAACTTGTTGCTTCCCATCGGGGTTCCACTCGAGTGCCTGGCCTGACGCGTGATGTCCCCAGTCGGTCTTCTCAATGTATGCCCAATCCATCTCTACTTCCTTCTGCATATTTGTTCAGCGATAGCTTTTTGCTTCGTTGGTTCGTTGCCAGCCAGCCAGCCAGCCAGCCAGCCAGCCAGCCAGCCAGCCAGCCAGCCAGCCAGCCAGCCAGCCAGCCAGCCAGCCAGCCAGCCAGCCAGCCAGCCAGCCAGCCAGCCAGCCAGCCAGCCAGCCAGCCAGCCAGCCAGCCAGCCAGCCAGCCAGCCAGCCAGCCAGCCAGCCAGCCAGCCAGCCAGCCAGCCAGCCAGCCAGCCAGCCAGCCAGCCAGCCAGCCAGCCAGCCAGCCAGCCAGCCAGCCAGCCAGCCAACCAGCCAGCCAGCCAGCCAGCCAGCCAGCCAGCCAGCCAGCCAGCCAGCCAGCCAGCCAGCCAGCCAGCCAGCCAGCCAGCCAGCCAGCCAGCCAGCCAGCCAGCCAGCCAGCCAGCCAGCCAGCCAGCCAGCCAGCCAGCCAGCCAGCCAGCCAGCCAGCCAGCCAGCCAGCCAGCCACAGTTACTTCTTGCTTATTCTGATTATTCTGGCCATCTGATGTTCATTAACGAGCCAGTGTAGGTAGTTGTTGATGAATATCTGTAGTTTACTGGAAATCCCTTTTGTAACGCGCCAAGTCTCTGAACCATACAGAAGCACTGACTTGACGTTGGTGTTTAAAATCCGAATCTTGCTTCACATGCTGAGTGCAGAAGATCTCCACACAGGTTTCAGGAAAATAAACCCCCGTCTTGCTTTTCTGATTCTGACTTTGACATTCTCGTCGGTACCTGTGCCGCCTGTAGTTGAAACAGTGCTTCCTAGGTAGGTGAAGGAGGTTACTTCCCTTAAGTTTCGGCAGTTCATGGTGATTAGAGTTTGTTGGTGTTGTTGGTTGGATATCTTCATCATCTCTGTCTTCTCTATATTCATTTGAAGTCCCGTCTTCACTGCCTGGCCTCTTCTTTCAACTTGTTAGTTTTCGCCTATAGATCTTCAAGTTTGTGTGACATCAGGCACAAGTCATCGGCGAAATATATGTCTTCTAGGATCTTTTCTCGGGTCCGGTGTATCCCCTCTCCTCGCTCCTCACGGTCTGCAGCATGATCCAGTAGACCACAATCAGGAATATCATGGGTGATAGTAGGCAGCCTTGTTTTACTCCTTCCTGTCTTCACTTTAAAGGCGTCACTTAGCTTCCCATTGTGAATCACTTGTCATGTGACGTCTTCATATAGCTGTTGAATGAGGCTTATAAAGGTTTGTGGTATTCCGTAGTATTGAAGCAGTTTCCAAATTACCTCTCGGTCGACGCTGTCAAAGGCCGGCCTTCTCAAAGTCGATAAAGTTGAGGTAGAGAGCTGATTGCCATTCCATGCTCTGTTCTATGATGATGCGAAGCGTTGCAATTTGGTCCGTACATGATTTGTACTTCCTGAAGCCTGCCAGCCAGCCTGTTCCGGTCGTAGTTTTGAATTCAGTGCATCCTTTAGTCTTTCCAGGACGACGCGGCATAATATTTTGCTTGGGGTGGACAGGAGCGTGGTTCCGCACCGGTTCTTGCAAACACCGAGGTCTCCCTTCTTCGGCAGTTTGACAAGGTAGCCTTTCTTTTAATCTGCAGATACCTTCCCTTCCTACCACAACTTCTGCAATAGTGGTGTGATCATGTCCGCTGTTTTCTCTGCGTCTGCTCTCAGTGCTTCTGGTAGGATCCCACCTGGCCCTGCTGCTTTCCTGCGTTTCAGTTGCTTTACGGCATTCAGGACTTCCACTTTTGTTGGCGGATTTGTGTTCACTTGTAGTTCAGCGGCTGTAGGTGGTATTTCTGGACGAAGTGCAGGTGATGGTCGATTCATGAGCTTTTTGAAGTGGTCGGCCCATTGTTTCCTTTGTTTCTCTTCTTTGGTAATTAAATTCCCTTCATCATCTTTTATTGGTTTCATCTGTGTCGATCTCTTCCCTTCCAGATGGTAACCTGGTTATTTGATGCAATGTTGTCAGGTCTCTGTCTCTCCTACCTGCAGCCTATTCTGCTTCATATGTCAGTGTGTCGTGGAAGTGTCTTTTGTCTTTGCGTGCACTCTTCTTCATTTCTTTGTCCAGTGTAGTGTTCTATACATTGTACTCAGTTCCTCTTGTCGTTGTGCACCCTTATACTGGTTTATCTTCTGCTTCGTCATCCTCCTCTCCCTGCTCTATCAGCTTCCATGTATCCGTTGAGATCCATTCCTCATCTTCTTTCTTCCTCCTTCCTGAAACGGTTATGCAGGCTTCTTTCCACATAGCTTTCAAAGACTTCCAGTGTTCATCCACACAGGTTTCGTCAGGGATGTTCCCCGAAATCTCACATTTTGTCTTGATGGCTGACGTGAAGATTTCCTTTGTAGTTTCATCCTTCAGTTTCCGAGTGTTGAACTTGAACTGTGGTCTATCACCAGCTTCCTTGAAGGCTTTTAACTTGATTTGGAAGGTTCCTTGCACTAGATAGTGTGTGGTCTGAACCTACATCTGCTCCTCTTTTTAACCTTGTGTTCAGTAGACTGCATCTCCATTTTCTTGAGATTGAGATAAAGTCGATTTGATTTTTAGTGTGTTCATCTGGTGAAGTCCATGTCACTTTGTGGATATCCTTGTGCTTGAACACAGTGCCTGACTCCAATCACCAAATCGTTGAATGCACAGAATTCTGCAAACAATTCTCCATTCTCGTTCATCACCTCACCGAGCGCTTCTCGACCCATGGTTAGTTCTCTTCCTGTGTTTCCCGCTCCCAGTTTGGTATTCATGTCGTCCATTCGGATTTTGATATCACCAACTAAGGTCTTATTCAGGTGAAAAATTATTCATGAATGAAAGTCATCAAAGTATTTGCTGTTTTCAGTTCGAAATCACACAGAATACCATACCGTAACGCTTTTTAAATTTGGAAGAAACCAGAATGAATAGAATGCCACTAAAACTGTGTGAAAATTATTCATAACAGATAAATGGTTTAAATCAAGGTTTTCTATTAACTGAATAGTTTTGTACGTCCACTGTTATATTTTGGTGTTAACTTCTGGGAAATTTGAAAGCAAATTATTTGACGGCCGTAATACATTCAAGCTGGTTTTCTTGGTTAAATCACGAATTTCCGTATCATTCAGGTGTCGATCCACTCAGTAGTATAGTTTTGTCTCAGTCGGACGAGGAACTCATTCTTTTATGTGGCGAAGGGATTTGCGAAGCTATTTTGTGCATGTACGCGGCATGTGTCAAAAAGAAGTGATGGTTATCCAGGACATTTTTGTCATAACAGTTCCGATACTAGAAACAAAATCTTTGGTGATAATAGTTTCTCGAGAGATAGCATACATGGATCTACAATGCACATGAACTGCTTCTAATTACATAGTATACAAAACAAAGATTTAAGAGATTTTAATGTCACGGGTTCAAAGAAGCCTTAATATGAGACGAATACTATGTATGAATGTCAAGGATTTTTTTATTATTCACATACCTGCAACGATGCTAGTTCAGCTGTCCATGACCGTACTGTGTTTCTGTAACTGTCCTTATCTTATAATTGTCTATCATTTTACTTATTGTTTGGTAAGTTCCGTCTAAACCAATGAATTTATTGATTGTTGATTACCCTGAGTACAAAAATCCAGAAAGTTTCTCGTAGTTTTGATCTTAAAGTCAATATTTTGACGTTTTCAACATCAAAATAATTTTCAGGGTTGTTGGTATGCTTCTTTCTCACGGATACTGTATGATGATACCTAATTGTTAAAGGACTTATGTCGCAGTTGTCAAAGTTGGCTTTTCCTGTTTTTCTGCTTGATCCATGCAGTGCGACTTAAAGAGATTTTACGGGTTTGTTAACTACATCCATTTTACGTGGCTTCAGGCATTTTTCATGATCTTCATGTAATCTACCAAAGTTTAGTTTTTAACCTTCATGATTTGCTCACAGTCACTCAGTAATCTTCTTCACTCCTCGTCGTTTTCAATGAAGTCTGTATACAGCCAGTTTTGTGTGTGATACAGTTGTGGATATCACGGTTGAGAGTTTGGCCAATGTTTGTCTGTTTCACACATTATTTCGATTTTCTTATGTAAGCCATTCTAATCATGAATAGCAGTTTGTTGTCCATTTCCTACTTTATTGTGGATTTGATTTCACTGAAAATGTTGTCGGTCATCCTGAATAGCTTCTGTTTCGTCATTTTTTTGAATATCAGTGAAGTCATCAAGATAGAGAACCCAAATTTTTGTTTTGTTCAACTGGACAGCGATGAATTATAGTCGTCTTAGTACTATTCTTTTAGTAACCAAGATTTCATCGATCCAACTGAAGATTCTTTCATCTGCTCGTACATTTTCCTTTTGAATTACGAAAGTTGATGGTCCCAGTTAAATTGAAATGCTAAAGTTCCATGAATTTTGTAAACCCGATATTATCCAATATATAGAGGGAGAAACTATCTTGTACAAGTTCATTAAAAAGTGATGAAATAATAACGAGATTCAGTATGACAATCAATATAAAATAATGTTTTGATGTATGTGTGTCACTGATATCAGTTTTCGGCCATGACATCTAGAACGCAAAATTACTGAATCCAGTTTTTATGTAGACCTCAACCATGAGGTCGTCAATCAATAAATGAAACGCTAATTATTTACAAAATAAAAGATCAAGTAAGAAAGTGACCAATAAGAAAATTAGTGCATTCAATAACAGAACAACTGAAGCAAACCACCAGTCAAATGGTACTTCTTCAGTACAGGCTGTAAAAAAGGCTTTGTGCGCATCTTGATAACTCAGTTTATTGTGAAATTAAGACCGAAAATATTGTTAAGAAAGATGAGTGCTTCAGGGGAACAGTACTATGTATTGTATAAAAACTGATGGTTCAAGAAGTTGCCTACTGAGGGATGCTAATTATTCATATGGAAACGAATGAAGTTAATCAACAATACCGATTTCACACTAAACTAATCAGCGTAATATATCGTGGTAAAGATGAAGTAATTTGGACTCAAGAATAGAAGTAGATTATTACCCAACACTTATCTAACAACTTAGTTAGAGTAAATGTCATATCTTTTTAGTGACTAACTGGTATAACCTGAACTATTTTAAAGCATGTGCAAACGCCTGAAAAATAACCTTCATATTCCACTATTTGGCTATCGCTCAGTTTCTCAACAAGTGGAAACAGGCGGTAAGATAGCAGTAGGTGCATTGCAAAATCCAAAAATATACGCAAAATACAATGCTTTAAGTATATTAACAGGGGCTTTGGCTATTTTCAGGTCTTTGTAGAACTGAATATTCGATTGATTTTTGTTTCTTCAAGCAATCTGATATTTCCATATTGATTTATGTGGTTTATGTAGAAAATTCAGTGCAACACGATTGGTTTTAAACAGGTTCAGTGACTTGGAGCTTTTAATGAAGATTATGGCCATCCTATTTTACACTGTGACAGTGCAAAACCTACCATACCAGTATGCTAAATAAACGTTTATCTCGTTCGTTAATGTCATTTGTTCTGAAGTGTTCTCTGAGTCACAGTAAATTGACAGCTAAACGTGGTATTATCTGTGAACAGTGCATTCTATTCAGGCATAACCCTTGGCGATTTTTATTTTGTTAGCTCAAAGAAATGTAGTCCCATGAATACTCACAGTGATGTTAGTTAATCGCCTACATGTAGTGTGATCTCCCTATTTAAAAAGTTTGACTACTTTCACACTCATTATTATTGTGTTATGTTTTTACTTAACTTTCTGTCATTCTTTGAAGATACTTTTTTAAATTACGCAATGTATACGATTAAGTGGGGAATATTTATCATTAAATAGCAAAGTTTTAGTTTTTTTGCCTAATTTGCTTGCTTTGACATTCTCCTCTGTTTCAGAATACAAGTGTGATGAGCAGTACTTATGCATTGTTGTCACTGAGTATCGACCGGTGCATTGCAATAAAATGGCCATTTTCAAGAATTTATGATCAGGGTAATTATTTTTCTCGTTGACGTTTTCATTTATCCTCTGAGAGGTAATCGAATTCATTTTGTTCTGATGAAAACGTTGTTTGATATAAAAAAGAAGGGTAAAATTTCAATTATCTACTGAGGATGGTGAAAGCAAACGATAAGTGCACCATATAAACTTAACTACACCCTAAACCAAATGTCAGTGGACCATTACTTATCACATAAAGTCTGATCAACAGGTGCTTTGTATTTATGTGAAAAATAAAATAATTGGTGGTTTTTATGTAGCAAAATGGGCATTGAAATAACCCAGTCCTGTGTACAGATTAGTCGTTGGACGGTTACTGAGGTAGCGATCAGTTCCTAGACATGAATGTTAGGTACACACTATCTTGCTGGCTGATATGTAAATTTATTTTAATCTGGTGACAAATCGTCGAAATGTCACAGCGCCTAGTCATATGGTCCCATAGTGAACTTCATCGACTAAACTTAAGACTTGAAAACTGTATCAGTTGTCACCCAGCGACCGATTTACGTTCCTGAATCTTTCCTACTGAGGGTTAATCGAATTCTAATTAGGTTTCTAAATGCGATAACGAGTGGCACAGGTTAGGGACATCGAGAAAATGTCCGATTGCACATAGTTGAAGAAAGGTTTTGCTGAAAAGTGTCGAAATGTATGTTATGTACAAGGGCTCTCTAAGTCGTAACTGTTAGCATACGCTGTTTTACGGAGAATGTTATTTACAAGGTGGGAATGACACAGTGATGATAATACAGTAAACTAGAGGCTATATAAATGATTTTTTTGTGTATTATTACGGGTGAAGCAGGCACTAGTGTGAAAGTATCTAAGACGGAATGATATAAACACTATCTGAAACTACACTTTAATATGAAATACCACTCCATAGAATATGCAAGTGTGTGCTGTTAATGATCGTTCTTTATACTGAAGAGAAGTAGGACTATAGAACAGTAGTGGTTGAATGCATAGATCCCTTGATATTTCCCACAGCAATATCGATAGAAATCATGGTTAAATATGAGGTTTATTGATGGAAAGGAGATGAACACCTGTTACGTTACGGTTAGCACATCTCAATGCAACTATGGGTAGTTTCGATGGTGAAATTTCACTGCAATTATTGATCATCTTGACTATCTAACATACCTGTGGTTTGAAAGACTAGTATTTATACTAGGTGACGATTGAAGGTGAAATGAAAATTTGGACAACGGCGGGATTCGTAGGTCAATTGGTAGAGCACCGGGTTGGAAACCCGGTAAATAAGCACTTACCTTTTATCGTTCAATTTACGTCAGATCAATAAAATATTAAATTTTCAGGAAAAATATACTCCATTTATTTTTCTTCAGTTGCTAATCCCCTAAATTCTTTCTTGGATTTATGAAACTTTTTTGAATAGAACCAAATGTGAAGATTAGTAGACTTTGACGAAAGAGACAGAAAATAAACTATGACTTTGAAATATCATTAAAAGGGACATTCTGTAGTGGCTGTAAACGAGTATCACCAACTTTCATCGATTTATTTTGCCTAAACCTTGTCATACAGCAACACAGAAGAGAAACTCATAAATAACCATGGAATTTAAGGTTGATATTCATCATGGTCTGACATCAGTTGGAGAACCATTTGAAACCTGGGGGCACTGGACAAGTGTTTCTACCCGATATAGGACTCTTCAGCATCACGACCCATAACAGAACGAAACGGTTGTTCAGCGCTTACAGGTTCATAATGGCTCTTCAAATGATGTCAGTCCATGCTTATTACCAATCTAAAATTAGTCAATAAATTCTTACAAACTTCGAATCTGAAACACATGCAATCTGTTAAGGATAAAAAAGAAGTTTGTTGATTTAAAAATCTCTAATCAAAAATATGGCATAGAAAGAATCACGTAGTTAAACTAGATACAAAAGATGGATGGTAGCTAGTGGTGGAATACAGGGTGCACACTTCCTCCTATTTATGACATATCACTTGGGTGTAACTGCCTCCCAGTAAGTGATGACGCTATCTCTGATTATCGGGAGCATCATCTACCAGTTCAAATCTTAAAGCTTTATCCCTGAGATTACCTAATTAAGATGTCCACTACTTATGCAACGAGCATGGTTTTAATATTTCAACAGTTGATAGAGTGAAATCGGATTAACCAAGACATTCTTTCATATGCAAAGATCAGATTGAATCTGTTCGATGAAATTCTGGAAGTGCAATAAGGATGAATTTTTCTACGCATTGTTGTTATAACGAACTTATATTTTGAACTGTTTCAATGTCCAGCGATTAGGCTTGTGGATGACAGTATTGGTGAGCTTCAGACAGTCTGCTGAATGTTAAGAAAAGTGGTTGTATGCGGCATTTGTATCCTTTTTTAATTTAGGTTGTTTTGATAAGTATATTTAATTTGTAGATACAGTTGAAGATGACCTTATAGGATCATTATTCACCTTTGTCTATGAAAAATCGAAATTAGAGCTATACGCGTGAATAAGTTTAACAGGTGTATAACTCCTGGCAAAAAGTTTTAAAATTTCCCATATTTGTATTTACATAAGTCATTTCCTCTGAAAGCTGGCCAGATAAAATTGACCTCTGCTGTTCTGTGGTAGGATTACTTTCGTCTTGTTGCGATAAACGTCTTTAGATAAATGTAGTTAAATGTTTAAAAGAATTAGCTTATCCTTCGTTTCCTTTCCAGAGAGCGATTTTCTCTCTTCACTAGATGATCACCTGATTAATCCATGTTTATATGAAAGATGGAGAATTTGTTGTAATGCAGGTACAACCTTATTCGAGTGTACACACGATCAACACATCCCTCCACTGTTTTTTCAACTCCATCTTAGAAGCGAACTAAAAATTAAAAGTTTCTAAGCTCACATTTTGGAGAATTACGATCGTATCATCCACACACCTCGTATACAGTGTGGTTCCATCAATTGCTTGTTGTATACAGCTCGTCTCTAGATTTGCCATGAATGGTCAAGCAAGAACAGGTACAAGTAATCCATCAGTCTGTTGGTGAATATCATTATTGAACTGGAAACAGACAATTTTTGAACAATATTTAAATCAGATCGAAATGAAACCCAAATAATATGTAAACCATATCGCATATCGGTGTAATTCACCGTACTGCATTAAGTCCTAATATTTTTATCTGACTTAGGGGGTTATTTTAGAAATGTTTTTTTTCAAAACTCCTATCCTGTGGATTATTTTGCCTGTCGATGCTAGGGGACATACACTACTCCATGTGGCTTATTCCTTAAAACTAAAATGATGCAAGTTCTTTCAGTTTAAACTTTGGGTTGTCCAAGTCACTAGAAAAGAAGGATATCGCACGAAACATTGGAAGCCGACTTTTTTTATTCACGTTTGCTTCTGATTCGATTCGACGGATGGATAAACAGCTACTAACAGCTTTGTCATAAAAGTTATTTGTAGCTATGTAAAATATAGCGTTAGGTGTGGTTCTTCTCACCTGAGCCACCAAATACGTTGAACGAAAGACTATTCCTTGTTAGTATATTGCCTGCAATTTATGACATTTGGATTCACTTTAACAGAATCTACAATACACATTTAGATGAACGTACATTAATTACGATGTTTTCTGCAAGAAATGTATTAAGGGCAACTACGGAAAGGTATTTTTGATCTGTAAAACTGCTTGAATGAAGGGAAAGTTTAGCAAGAAAAAGAAGTTCTAGACACTAACACTTGGCAATCAAGCATCTGTTAAATTTTCTTTACATCCTCAGTATCTCTACAAATGTAATTCTTTTTCTTGTATATTGCTACTATATAACAGCAGCTATCATACTTTCATTTTTTGAACGTCATGTTTAGTTTTCTATTAAATAGACAGTTGTATAATTGTCTATATAATTACGCCAATGTGTTCTTGACTTATCTACGTTCATCACAACCGTGATGTTTTCTATAATGACTATGAAGTAACAATTACAATCATTCGAATCTCTGTCAGACCCTTTTTTTGAGTAACAACAATGAGTCAACTGAACCAGCCAAGCTTTTCTTATTCAATATGATCGAATAGTTCAGGTTTGTGATGGAGAAATTTTTCTTCTGTAAAGTATGATTGGAAGAATGGGCTTGTAGTCAGTATTAGAAGACAAACATGTTATTCTTATTTTGTAGAGTATTAAACATTTTTAAAATCAGCGCACAAATAATTCCAAATTTCTGGCTGGTTGGATATTTTTATGAACAGCTGTAAGCGGTCCTTCACACAAACATCTCGTAAAATTTAGGGCCTACTTTTAAGTTTCCTAATATTCGGTTTATTATGCTCATTGAGAACAACATTTTGAGCTGCAATATCAATAATTCTAGGGCCTACGGAATACCAGACTCATTATCTTATAATCTGAATGCTGTACTGAAATTCGTCTTTATAGCGGCTTGTACCATGATTTCTTCGAAAATAAAGTTCTCTTTCACCAGATGAAAAAAATAAAATGCATTTAAAAGTTTATTCATGAATAATAGCACATTCAGGCTGTAAAAACGTAGATTTTTTGTGGGCTAAAACTGAGTTGGTGTTATACGGTGGTTAATTAGTAAGAAAGAGTTTCTGTTCTAGATGCCAGTGACTCAGATTAAAACAGAAGAGAGAAGGAATGAAAATCGATAATTCCATAGGATTTGAATCAGTTACAGAGAAACCCTAAAAAGCAGGTTTAGCATGTATTTGATTCTGTAACTATATGCTTTTGACAAAACCAAACTGATGGAGAGCCCAGTAGTATTCATTCCCAAAACAGCACTTTTAGTATATTATTCTGATTAACCAGGATCTGTTATTTGTCTACACTTAGCTTCATGTATACTGTTTGTGGTCAGTTAGAAACTTCTGTACTTTTACATTTCTTTAGCTAGTTTATTGTGGATTTATGGTTCATATAAGCCTTTTTAACACGCTAGATTCTCTAATGGGTTCTGTTTTCATTTAAAAACGTGTTTCAGATCGCTATACAGTTATGCTTTGCAGTCTGGGGTGGATATTTGCGATGATATTCAACATTCCATCTCTGGTGTTTTTTGATATAAACATACTTCCTCAGTTCGGTAGGCAATGTTGGATTACTTGGTCCTCTGGTACTTGGAAGGTAAGTCCTCTTTACTGTTTTCTATAGTCATTATGACTTTCTGACTTGATTATTACTTGCTACTGTTGGTAGTTATTAACTGCTTCTTTTGTCTTGTCCTCACAGTGCTTCAGTATAAGTGTTTTCAACCAACTTTTACAGTCAATCATGAAAAGCATTCTGCTGAAAATGCATAATTTTCTGCCAATTGATATCAAAGTATTAGGATCTAGTTTTTATGATCTACAGGCTCGTCATGGCACTCAACGTCATACATGTTTGTATGGTTTCATTGTAGTTTTACTCTATAGAACGATAGAATCATTTCTATAATTTTAAGCAAACTCTGAATCGCTCTGTCTGCTAACTATCCATTTTACTGTACTGAACATTTTGATTTTCAAAGTAGTTATGCTTTACATAAATGAGGCCAGTGATTTGTTCTTGATATGCTGAAGGAGTAATAGTATAAAGTAAGGGGTATAGTACCAGCCAGTTTATAGCACAAACTGAATTACTTATATTCAGCTTGAAGTTACCTCATTAGACAGTAGCACTTAAGATGCTTGACATACATTTTCATAGGCGTGAAGCCGATCATCGTTGAAGTGTATCTATGAATCAAAGAGGGAAGAGTGTGTGTGTGTGACATTAAACCACCCAACTGTAAGCGTTACCAGTAGGCGATTATTACCATTGACAAAACCAATATCTAAGAGTTCTCTATCAACCTATGTTAATCGTCTAGTAAAAAGGAATGGGAGCCAATATGATATAGAGAATCAAACATAATTTGTAGGACACTGTTTCCAAACAATGTGATATTTAGGTAAAATTCTGATCAAAAAGGAGTCGGTCAACTCATCAGGATCAACGCTGAACGGCAAAATGTATTCATTTATTGCATTTGAACGTTGAAATAACGAGTAATGCTAAATAAAGCCCAAGGAATACGTTGTGTGAACACGTACTTTTCGAACATCAAAAGGTTTTCAAATGGGAGATGGATATCATAAGATTTTTCAACGAAGTATGAACTGTTTTTTTCAAAATGCATCTAAACATTTTGAATTGAGGTATTCATGGGAATATTTAGCGAGTTTATTGGCTGCTCGACTATATGTAAAGGTGAGAATGTACAATCATTTTCATAATCAGTGACGAGCATTTTTGCAAATGCTACCCTACCGCCCCTTAAACATCCATAAGACGCAGTGATTGCTACCAAACAGTTATACTGATGAAACCAAGTTTCTTTCTAAGTTTTTCACTGATTTTTATTGAAAGGAAAACACTTCGTTTCAAACCAATCGATCGGTTCAGATCAAACCAGCAAGTGAGTGTAAGAATGGTGCGTCACATGCATAAGATTCTGAAAGAAAATTTCAGAAAGTTGACAAATATTAATGGTAAAACGAAACTCTGAATAATAAGGAGCACCAAAGAATAAGTTTTTCTCTTTTCTGGAAAATAAGGCAAGCAGAAAGCGAAAATGTTAAGGCAAAGATTTTGAGGCCATGGTAAAGAAAGTGGTCGTATGGATTTCGTTTAAATGCTTACTCATGCCTTGAATTCATAGATTCTAAATGTTTCGGTTGAACACAAATGTACAAATGTACCACAGAGAAATTTTCACTAATTTTATTCAATAAAATAACTTTACGAAATCAACGGTTCAGAAATTTTCCTCTGAACAGATGGAAATATAACATCGCAGACTACTAAATACACCGAAGGTCGACTGAAGTATTAGCACTAATCTATACTGGGAAATTCGACCCTTTTAGATTATTATCTCACGTTTATATGATTTACCAAAACCACAAAACAATGGAGTCCCTCATCATTTAATATTTCACATGACCGATACTCCACACCAAACATTTGTAAAATGGCTTGTGAAGATTCTTGAACCTGTGAAGGAGCAACTTTGAAGTATAATTTCCTTGGCACATGTGATTCTATTAAGTCAGTCAGGGATATTATTCTGTGCGGAAAGATAATGACTCGACTGAGAAATGTGTCACTTTTATTAGACGTTCCACTAGCAGAAAATATTTGTTTAGCATGCAGCTAAATCCACTTCAAAAATTTCAACGTTAGTCTGCCTGAAAGAACATCTCTTCCATTCACATACTATGGTAAAATCAACAGACAAATGGATGGCATAGTAATGAGACTATTGACTTTGAGACCATTTCTTGACGATTGTTTAGTGGTTAATTTTGAGAACTCCACTTTACATAAGTATTGAACTACTTTACTAGATACGAAGGATATATGAGAAACTTCTCTGTCATTTGTGACGAAAAACTTGAAGCAGAAGTCCTCCTTCAAAGATTCACAGACAGTCACCATTTTGTCAATTTTATGCTTGAAATGAAATTGAGCCGAAAGTATCACTTTCTTAGCTTGCAACTCGAAAAATGACTTGGAAAGTCTATTTGAAGCTAACTTTACAGGAACCCTACTTGAAAAGATTACCTGACCAGCTTCCAAAACTGGGTCAGGAATAGAAGCACCAAGTGATTTCCCTCTTTTGAAGTAAGATACCTGTGTACTGATGATACAGTGAAGCACGAATTAGAAAATCTCCATGAAACGCCATTGCAGAACAGTTATTCATCGTAATACGAAGATGATAAAATCATAGAACGTCGATTATCAGTGGTTTTTTGATCGATAATGAAATAGGCGAAATGGATTTACGTGACTTTAGTCCTATCAAAGTGTACTTTAGGTACATCTAATCATTTTGTTTGTATGTAACTGCGTTTAACAAAAAAACACTAACTCAGGTTATACTGCAGTGAGCGTTACTTATAGGGACAGGAATAAGTAGTATGCAATGAAAAGTCGAATGTCCTAGCGATTAAAGGATGAAAACTGAGACAAAAATGACAAATAGTGTTGGATGGAAATATAAGGCACAAAACTAAGTGGAATGATGCTCAGAACAAGAGATAGTTTACAAATGGGTTGTTTGTTACTAAGTATAGTGATATTACACATGCCTTTTTCTTGGATATTTTTAAAACGCGTGCAGTATAAATAGAGTTCTGTCACAGATTTGTACCTTCGAAAAATAAAGGGGAATTTCATACTTGAAAGTTCATTCATAATTAGATAACGGGGTAACCATTCTTTACGTTTATATATTTTTTTTCTATAGCTCTATTTGGTGATTATGAGTCTGCTGATTTTCTTCATACCAGTTGTGTTGATAATTTTGACACATATAACAATAGTAAGAACAATATGGAAAGTGAGGAATTCTGTTCTACGCTATCACGTTCATACACCGAGAACATCTCAAAGTAATATACATGTTGAAGATAGACGTCCGAGGGAAATTCATTTTGAAGAGAAGATAGGTTTGTCTAGAGCATTCAAATCTTGTGGAGAACCTCATGATTGTTTTCAACAGGAGTCAGTTTCAAATAAGAAAACTGAAATGAAGAGTATGAATTTCGAAGTACTATCAAGCGATACGCCAATTTCGATACGGCAGAATTCATGTGAACTGTCGAAGGCGAACTTAGTGGTTTCAAAGAAATGTACGCATTTAGAATTCACTGATAATAAATTAGAACACCATAGTGTTTTGTCACGTGCAAAAATGAAATCTATTCAGCTTACATTCCTAATTGTTGCAGGTACGATGTTCCAATATTTTAACTTTACAGGCACTTTATATTTCTGTTGTGTGATATTTTTGTTACACTTAGATTCTGTTAAAGGATGATATTTAGAAGTAGTATTCATCATGGACTGACATCAGTTGGGGAACCATTGAGAATCTGGGAGCACTGGACAGCTGTTTCGTCCTAGTATGGGACTCCTCAGCAGTACGCACTCACGGCTTGGCTGGGGACCGAACTCATGACCTTCGGGTTTCACGGCGAAAGCGTTAACCATTTAGCCACTGGGTCGGTTTCCAGTGGTTCACAATTTTCAACTTCTGTCAACTCACGACATAGTGCGACTGTCACCCAAGATCTTCAGTTAGCATCCACTTCATTTGCGACTGGTTGACCCCACAGGTCACGGCTTCTCATTAGAACTTCCTAACATCCATCTGGAAGCAAGTCACTAGTGAGCACTATACAGTCGGAAGTGAAGTGGATGCTAACTGAAGATCTTGGGTGACAGTCTCACTATGTCGTGAGTTGACAGAAGTTGAAAATTGTGAACCACTGGAAACCGACCCAGTGGCTAAATGGTTAACGCTTTCGCCGTGAAACCCGAAGGTCATGAGTTCGGTCCCCAGCCAAGCCGTGAGTGCGTACTGCTGAGGAGTCCCATACTAGGACGAAACAGCTGTCCAGTGCTCCCAGATTCTCAATGGTTCCCCAACTGATGTCAGTCCATGATGAATACTACTTCTAAATTAAAAAATCCCCATTCATCTCAAAAAAAGGATGATATTGTTATGTGACTTTGCTTTTTGGTCAAATACCATTGCACATGAAATAATCTTCTGAATCCAGATTAAAGCGGTGCTTAAAATTCACTACCATTTTTGGTTTGCAACTCTCTGCATCTAGACGTCACTCGAATAGTAACCTCTAGCTATTTCGTGTTTAGTGACACATAAGGATAGCAAAATATTTATGACTTAGAAAACATTTGACTCTGAGATTTGCAACCACATGTTATCTCATGGGGACCGTTTGATATGACCTACGGTATAACCATCTTTTTCCATTATTTGAAACCACTTTTTTGAAAATACTTTTATATATTTTATATTATTTACCGGATATTTCAAACATAACTTATTGTCTATATACATATCAGATATGAATATGAAGCATCCTACAGAAAAAATCTTGACACATCTAATAGATAGGCGAAAATTGAATTACAAATAGTCACGAGTGTTAACAAATAACCTGGTGCTTCCTGATTTGCTATATAGTCAGCCTTTATATGATAGTTTCCTTACAGTAGATATAGGGCTAGATTAACACTTTCTAAACATCAGTAGTGTCATTTACTAGAAATCTCTTTCAGCAGTTACGAAAAGCTGCATGACTACCAGTCAGTATTGTTGTATTTACCATTGAATTTATTACGATAAAACGTTTATCCTAAAAAGATTAGAAACAGGGGTACCCTGTGCTCATGTTCTCATAAGGTTAAAAGTACATAAAAATGATCCGTAGTTGATATGTCTTGCAGTCAGTTGTAGCTTAGTGTGTACCAAATTATTTACTTTACTATCCTTGGATCACCCAAGCTTGTAGGTTATTGAACATCTATAACAGTCCAACTCCAAACACGATCTACTGTAATGTCTCACAATATATCCAAACAAAGTTTGGCACATTATACTGGGAAATGCAGAATGGCCAGACTTAAATCTGAGCATCTGAAGTCTCTTTTCACTTGATCACGGTATGTTAACAAAGTGAGGTTTATTCAACTTTTAGCTTCGAGTCCACACAGTATGAGTGATGCTAAAATACTACGCTCATTGTCGATAAATAAAGAGTGAATTTGTTTGAACTACTTACCATTATTTTTCATTTTCAGTTTTCATAGTTTGTTGGTTACCTTATGTGGTTTGGAATTACGTTATGACATTCGGTGGCCGGAAAATGACAAGCTCAATTATGTATACATCCATTGTATTCAATGTAAGTGCTGAATTATTTCGTTTCACTACATAACGGAGTGGTTGATGAATTATTTAATTTTATATAACACAGTTCGATTTAATGAATGTATTTCAACTCGCAAGTTAGCAAATGATTCTTAAATTCATTCAATAAATTGGTTTAGAACATTTTTAACTGTATTAAGATTCCATCACCTAGACGTATAATGACAGCCTTACTTACCTATGTCAAATTTTACTGTAGTCTGCAAGTGTAGACTAGATTACCAACTGTATGAAAGTAAATTCCTAGTAAATCACATTAAAGCCGTCTTTTAATACAGCATTTAAGTAAGGGTAATGGTAGAATAAAGTAAATTTAACGTAATTGATAATTAGTTATAACTGAGATCATTAATTCTTAAAGACCGTATATTTTCGGCAGTACAAATTTGCGATTTAATTATGATCCTATTTCTAGTAACAATAAAATAAGAGGTGCAATAATTTAGACAAGTGTAATGAATGACATGCTTAAAATTATCTTTTGCAAACTCCTTGCGAAAAGTTTGAATTCACACATCATGCGCACCACCTTTTTGCATTCATTCTGCCAACTGGCTCCACTTTAATCTTTTTAAATCTCTGAAAAAGAAAGTATCGGTGAAGTAGGTCTTCGTTGATCCTTAAAATTAAGGGCATATAAATCACTGAGTAAGATACTTGAGATCAGTAGGTAGAAAGCAGCAACTATAGATAGGGAGGAATTCACAGTTTCCTTGTTAATTTGGACCTATATCATTCAGCTTTGAATAAGAAGACCTATTTGTCAAACTGTACACTCCCGAACAAAACTGTCGTTTCAGCAGTCATAACTAAAGCGATTAGAATGCAGTGATTTATTTATGCATCACAACCAAGAGAAGCCAAATTACTTAATCCTACCATTGCATTCTTTTCATCTCAAAATATTTGGACTTTACTGCATGAAGACGCAGAATACTTAGTTTAATTCAAAATGAATTAGCATGATGTATCTTAAAGTAGATTGCCATGGTATAAATATATACACACACCACTTTAGACTTGATTGTTGTATTACATTTTGTTATTTGTCTTCACGTTATGGTTCCGTATGACTTTTGACTACGTTCCTCTAATTTCTTTGTTTTGTAGTCTTTCTCCTATGCAGTAATAAATTGATGCTATATCTGACAACAGTAATGTAGAAATACTAGGTTTCATGTTGCTGTAACCCCACTTATAGTAAAGTTTTCTCCAAAGCATAGGTGTAATCCACGTTGAAAACACAAGACAGATGCAACTGAATGACGTCAATTTATGTCATATTTGTTACAGTAGCAGGTGTGCATTTGTTCATCACTTCATAATTCGTTTGAAGGCATTTGCTGCTGTTGCGGCTGTTGTGTTCTCTTGCTTGTAGTAACTAAAAATTGACTTATTGCTTAGATGAAGGGCTCAGCGTACCGACTCCTCAGCAATGGCAAAACGTTCCATATGAAGAAGTATTTCAGTTAAAATACTACTTATTTTTAAAATATAAATGTGGTTCATTATTTCAGCTTTAAGACGAAGGAGTCTAGAAAGACGAACGCTTCAAGTATTTCCAAAAACTAAATACTATAAAAAATAATCATTTTTCGAGTTCTGCTCGTAGATGAGCTGAATATGAGAAAAATCCATTCGTAGACCGTTGATTAGCTACTTTGTATGTCACTTGTGTAATAATTTACTTAAAATTACTCGCCCCGGTCATTCTGTTACATTACATACTGCCTAATGATATCTGGTGCTCCCCTGATGCGGCATTTTTTCCACCGCGTGACTCTTGCAATGATTCCACCGAATTAGTTATCTGTATTTTCAGGAACAAAAGCGAGACTCAAAAGACGGGCTCAAATGGCTACAGAGTGATCCATTATTCTTCAAGTGATGAGGGCTTCACGAAGACAACTATTTTATCGTATTTGCTTGCAACAACTTTCCATAAACCACTGTTTGATCCAATAATTACAATTTCTAATTTTAAGGTGTGAAAGTGAAATTTATTTGTCCATGAATAAAAACCTCAAATCACTTGGTCACTGATAGATGTAGGTCATTAGGGCCAAGTACAAGCGATATTTATCACTGAGATGTATAGGAATTGCAGTAACGCATAAGTATGAAAGTCATATTCGAAGTGATGTACCAAAACACCTGATCCAAACGCAAATGTTCATTTGCCATTATAACCTTGAATCATAATGTCGGTTTCTCGTCGAGTATTTAGATTGGTGCATTGATCTGTATGAAGGGGTAAAATTCCTAGATTGTGACACATCGGACTTTATATTTAGTGCAAAGATATCACAAAATAGCTTGCAAAATGACCTAGGTGTAAAACAAAAAAGTGATGTACATTGTATTGTTGGGTGACAAGAGGTCTCACTACATGAATGGCAATAGAATTGCTAATGAGCGTCAACAAACAGGAAGCCTAAGTTCAGGGCTTCTTACCAGTTGCCTACAACCAACTACCATCCGTCAGAAATCGTTACGGTGGTGAGTCTAGCTTAGTGGTCACATTGCAAACTGATCCAGTGAATTCAGTTTGCTGTTGGAACAAGACACAGACAATATGAGATTGGTCGCTCTACAGTGATCAGCCAGTGTACAGTCATGAAGATTGCTTTGCTGTAGTTAAAAGAAGTTTGAAGACATGAGGGGTAATTGAAAACACATCAGCATGCATCAAGTCAAGTTTCAGGCATCAATTTCGTATGCTGATTGAATAAAGCAATTCCTCTTGTAATTAGTCTATTCGATATAATTTCAATTTGTCATTAATACATATTTTCAACAGGCATTCGAAACGTATTCTGTCTTTAGAGTCTCAAGATATGACCATTTTGAGCTCATTTGACCCAAACATTAGTTAAAATAAGTTTGTTGCAGCTGTATAAAGTTATCTTGTAGTGGATCACTGCGTATCTGACCAGAGCTGGTTCCATAATGTATCATTTATACATAACTTTGTTTATGAATGTATCTGAATTTGTCTAATGAAAAAGAAATTAGTGAAAGTGGAATTATCTGTTGGTGAAGCAGATCTCTTAGTGGAGTTTAACATGTTTCAAAAGTTTGTAGTCAATAAGTGAAGCTACTGAAATGATCTATCACAGCTTTAGATACACCTCTATATATAAATAGTTTAGAGTCATTTATACTTTGCTACAACTTAAACTAACAGTTATTGCAGTTGCTGTGTAAATAAATACCCATCACTTTAGCTGATCCTGATTTTTCTACATGCATACGAAACCGACATTTTCTCACCTAAAATTCATCCTAGCAGCTAGTACTACTCAAAATATGTTTGGACTTGCTTTGATTTCTGGTTTCCAAGTTATCTGGAATTCTTGAAACTAGAAAACAACCTTAAAATATTTTTTGAATGAATGCTGATCAATATTTGAAAATAAAACTGTTTCTCTACATGTTCTACAAGCCATTTCACCAGTGCTTTGTATGAATAAAAATTAAGTACAATAAATGATAATGTCGAATTCATCTATCACTTGTAACTGTTTCTTCAAATAATTGAAACAAAGAACAGTCGTTGGGTGATGTAGTAGCAGATTAGTTTATGAAAAAACAACAGATGAATGCTAATAATTACGAGCTAATTTTATGAAATGATGTGGCATTATGTGACACGGTGAAATAATAAACTTGAAATTTCAGGAAACATGATAAAGGGAATAAAATGTAATCAAAATTATTGACCATCGTAGTCAGTTTTAATTCATAACATAGTCATCTCATGAAGTGTTGGAATAGATGAAATAAAACTATGTTAATCTGATTGAATACAATATAAATATCTCTTTCGAATTCTCACAATTCATTTATGGATGCATGAATATGGTTTTGTGGTATTAACACTGTTTACTTGTTTTGCTGTTAAAGCAAAGTTTTTGCAAACACTTCGTTATTCTCACTGTATTTGAGCACTTTTTTGCTAACTGATTGTTTTCGTTATCTAGCAATTAGTGAATCTGAATGCTGCTGCAGATCCAATTGTATTTTGGCTGTTCCACGTACGTCGTTCAGGAAGCAGACGTTCATGTCCATGTTCAAAAAGACCACCTGCCACTGTAGTTTTAAAATCTTAAACGAACCCCTATTGTTTGGATGAGGATTTCTTCAAATTTTTGAAAAATTTCCACCTGAGATACTTAAACTTTTGCATTAAAGTTCAGATGATTTCTGTATAGTTGGCTAAATATACATTATTTTTAGTGAGTGGCTTTTGTAAATGAAAGTAACTACTTCGAATCCAGTTTTCTTGAGGGTAGAAGCTGTTTTTGTCTGTCTTGAATGTTCTCAAATTTGAAAGCAGCAAGACCAAAACATGATAAAATGTATGATGTATTCTAACTTTGTCAGGTAGTCTTCACTTATTGTATGTATCTTTCAAATAATAAACCGTGATAGAAATGAAAAATACTTCAGTATGGTAACTGCAAGTTAGTGAGTAGAGAGATTCATTATAAGAAGTTGAATGGATTTAGCATTGATAAGAAATGGTTGCACTTCAAGATTTCATATGTTGATGTACAGATCATCATCAAATGAAAACTGAGATGTTTGGTAGCAAAGTCATAGGATTTATAAACCTCGTTACTTCAGAGCAATTCAGTTACTAGGGAAAATACTACTAATTAAACATGAGAGTGTACTGACTATCTTTATCTGCATTCAGCAAAACGAAAGTAGTGGAGCAGAGTGAGCTTAATAATTTAACAGAAATATGATTTATTCAAGTGCATAAGTGGGCTATCAAGACAGCAGAAACATACCAACCACTTTATTTCAACGCATAAATATGGTCTTAGCCATCGGATGTCCATAGTTTAAGGAGACAGAAAAAGATTTGAAACGTATTATATGATGATGTTTTTAGAGATTTAAAGGTATCTATTTGGTTTCCTGTATTTACTAGTTGTTTTCACTTCGGTAGTTATGAGCTGTTAATAAAATTTTTCAATTCGAAAGTAACCTTTTTCGCCTCAGCAGGTAAATGTAAATTAACAAAAGCGCTTTGAATTACCGTAAGGGGAAAACATTTTTATTTCCAACTGCCTTAATGAATATGAGGTATCTCAGAAGAGAAGTAATTTGGTTCTAGGGTGTGTTCTGATCCATAAAATATTAATTAAGCTTTCCGTTTATTATTTCATTATTTCCACCACTTGTGAATTCAAGGAGCATAAAATTTCCCTTCCTGCTAATTGTACTTATTATAGTTCATTGCATTCAATTCTGTCAAGAAAATTACTCATCGATTGTCAAAACTCATCTTTAACTTATCAGCCGAATATATTTATGCAGCTAAATATGTTAGACAATACTTTAACTAATGTTTGAACCAATTACATGAATCAAGGCAATTCAGAATATCACTCAATAATTTTTGAAAGTGAACTGTTTGTACTATGTTGAACTCAAACTTTTTCAGAAAGTTCTTGTTGCATCATGAACTAAATGCTCATGTGCGGAATAATGAAAAAATTGAGCAAATCGGGTTCATTGTCCATGTATTCTCAAACAATAAATGTTACATATTTATCTGAAGAGGAATTTTGCTGCTGTGATTACGCATATTTCAGCATTGTCAATTTAAGGTGATAATGTAAGTGGATCGAACACTCCCTTTTATCCCTATTTTATAGTAGTTTACGGAGATCAGTTGAAATATTCCAAGGTTTTATATTTTTGTCGCCTCTGTGTATCTGAAGCACTTGCTATGCATAACAAAAACCAAAACTTTGTATTCAGAGGCATTTCATGTGTATATTAACTGATTAAAACTTTCATGCAACCATGTGTGCTTTTGCAAGTTTCAAAAAGGACTTAACAGCTTTCTAACAAATTCGCTAAAGGGAAAGATTCCTCAATTGTTGTCGATTCTCATATTTCCAAAATGGATAAATGAAATGAAGTTGTTTTACAGATGTTTTGTTACTCACTACTAACAGATATATCAAAAGTTTCATATTACATTTTTTATTTGTTTATTTTGAAACAGATGGATGAAAAACTGTTGTACTACATAAGGGAAGGTTGAAAGTCATATGAGAATTATGAAATAAATATGCAAAATAAATTCTACTCGAAACGTCATCCGGCAAATTATAATCTCTCAATGTGTGCTGCATCATTAAACAGTTGGATATGGAATTAAACTCTACCATAGTGCCCAAGGTTTACTCTTACATTAAGTAAACAGAAGTTTCTAGTAGCTAAGTTCGTGTACGAATCTATCGAAAAGTTTCTGTATGGATCCTTTTTAGTCAAGCTATTGACAAAATAAACAAACACACTTATAACAAGCATGTGAATCATTATGCGTATTTTTCACATATGTGTGTGATTGTATTCATACAGAAAGTGTGCTGACTTTGTCGAATTATTAGGATGAGTTGAAACTCTTTCAACCTTGGTCTAGACAAATTGGATTTCATTTTATACGTATAAACTGGGCTATAAGGAGTCCATTATAACTCTCAAACTTTTTGAGTATTTTCATCTTTATCGAGGTTAACTTCGTGACTCAAAACTGCAGCATGTTGAGCTAAGCTTGAAGTATTTTCGGCCTTTTTAAGGTTTGTTGGATTTGTAGGCGAATGAATGAACATGATCTAACCAACGCATGTATGTACTATATGTATATATATAATTATACATGCAAAAACGTTTTCCTGGGTATACTTTTATGTACATATTAGGGTTTATCGTATCTACGAATAGTCTAATACCATTTTAAAATGCATTGTTTACATGAAGAGTAGTGTACTGATTGTTAAATAAAGGAATATGTGGCTGATGTACTGATCACACAGACATTTGGAACACTAATTCTCGCTGATTCATGTGAGTCTTTTAGATTGTCTGCAGCTACATCAGATTGAATATAGTGATATAGAACCTCTGACTGAGCAGCAAATTGCTATGTGTACCACAAAATATAGAATACTGCTTCAGTATGTAGTGTAATACGTGAATTGTTAATTCCAGAAATATTTTTTCGTCTTTGTTTACAAACTTTCAGAAATTGAGTTTCTGTGACTCTAAATGACAAGTGGGAGAAGCAATAACACCTGTTAGTCACTATAAAAACTTGAAACCAGTCAACTGAATTTATTCTCCTAAGTTGATTACTTCTTCATAAAAGATGTATCCTTTTCATAAAAAGTTCAGTCATCAGAAACATATTGGGAAATTCTTTTAATGTATTGAAGTGATTTCCCGAAAAACTGATTGGATAAGTTTTCTGTTGTCAAAATGGAAATTCCTTGTTTGATAAGCTTCTGTACGTTTAGGGGTGACGCTATCTTTAAGACTAAAACTTACTTACCTCTCAAGTTGCCTTATCTACCAGTGAATGAATCTCTCGAGTCAAACCATGCGAGTGAAAATAAAGTTACACGTTCGTTAGAGCTACCTTCTTCTCACCGTTGATTAAACCAATCTGATCAACCACAATTGAGCTACTGTCCTGTGCGCTGCTTATTGGATTTTGTCTGAAAATTTCGTTTTAGAGTAATGATAGGTAGTGGCTACCAGCGGAATCCAAAACGCTGGCTCATTGCTATTTAAGACTTGCCAACTGGATGTACCTATCTTTTGATGAATGGTGCTTTTACTGAGACTTGAACACTAGAGTTATCACTTCAAACACCAGAGATTCATCCAGGAGGCTAATGAATCACGATAGCCACTTCCTAATTCTAACTCCATTGGGGACAACAACACCCACTGAGAGGCAGATGCCTTCAGGAGACCATTTTCACGTAGGATAAAGCATACGTCTTAAATTACCTTGGCAGCCACTAGCTCTCACTACACTGAAATTAGACCAAATTCAACCTACGGTATTTGTTTTCAGATGATTCAATACTTATATCTACAGGTTAACTGTCAGCTTTACATTGGCACTAAATGTGTGTTTAGCTTGAATAAATGAACTGAAGTTCATGTATAAACGTTATTGACCATAATTCCAGATGCTAAAGCAGAATGCTTACGGTTGATTATTAGTAAAAGAAACTTAACCCAAGCGTAAAACCAGGCGCCAGGAATTTTGTGCTAAATCGATAGCAAAATAATGAAAGTACGTAATCTGTCACCATAACATGGAAGACAAGATTTCTGGGTTTCAGATTAAGTATTTCATCACCTAATTAAATGATGGTGAAAATATATAGCCTGCCGTGAGCTATTTAAAAAAAATGTGCCGATCATTCGGTTACAGTTTTCAGCCTGTGTTAAGCAAACTTCAAATTCATACTTGCCAGCATTCATTCCTTCTAAAACCAGTTGGTCTTTGAATATGATTGCAGGATGGCGCTACCAGCTGATTATAGCGTACTTAGAGGTAAAACTTAGTGAATACGATAGTTACAATTACTTGTTTTGATCAGTGATTGTATGTAAAATCTTACACAATAGACTTTAGTATGAATGTATGGTGAAAATCCGAAGTTACAAAAACAAATTAACTGCACTATTGCTTGTTAATGTATATCAATAACGGGAAACAAATTTGACCAATTGATATCTGGAGTAAGCCTGGTATATGCTTTTGCTTTAAGAGTAAGTTTGATGTCCTACTAGAAGGATAGCATAAACACTGCAAAAGCTATATGGGTCGATTATTTTAAACGTGTCAAGTGGTATCTTATAAAGGGGTGAGTAGCGTGATCAAAAAGTATGTCTGCAACAGCATCGGCAAAACGTGGTAATTTTAGCTGCATGAAACATAAACTGATCATTCCTTAATCACCGTAAATGTCTTAACGTAAACTTTAGGAATTGATTTGTGATGTAAACTAATAATTTTCACGACTGGAAAAATTGTTTCGGTTTATAATAGAAACCGGTATAAAACAATGAAATGCGATCAAAGTGTCAACGTGTTTTATACGACAAGGTGAAAAATACTCTTGAACGAATAAGACGGGGTAATAATGACATATATCTTCTTGATGATAAAGTGGTCAGTGTGAAGGTGGATGAAGCCAAGCTTAAAATAAAGAGGTGACCATTTCGGTGTAAAGTCAGGGGATGAAGAATTATTATATCCTAATTCAGCAACGAAATAATAATTGTT